TAGTTTTCTAGAAAAGAGTAGTGATATTTTTAACAATGGCCGTAAGTTCAAGTATACCAAGTTTGAGGATGTTCCAGATTGTTTAAAGCCCAAAGAATTTTACCAAAATCGGCTAGATTCTTTCTATTCGTATGATCATCAATTCTTTGAAGCAACAAGGGGGGAGAAACGACTGTAACTGTGGAATGTCTGATGATATTCTCCAACTAAGCATCAAACTGGACTTTGATACTAGAATCATAGCCTGGCACCTGGCCACAAGTATTTGTTACCATCAAGAATTTGGTGATTGTCATCCCAATAATGCTCCTAATCAATCCATGAAGAGAAGCAAATATTTATCAGATTACATGATGTATCTGCTGGTCATTCGACCCGACATGCTAAATTCTGAGTATCGTAAGAGTTTATGGTTGGAACGTGCTATTGATAAGCTCAAGGACCGTCGCTCTAAAGCATCAAATATGAGAGCTTTTACCAAGTTACTGTTGCCAGCCCTTTCCGAATCCAGGTTTGTTTATTTATTTATAACCAAACATTACTAAATTAACCATTTTTTTTCTAATTATACGTACGTTTTCCTTTTTTCACATAAGTCCCGAGACTGCGGTGGCGCATCTGCCAGAGTTTGCTGGATACCTGGCCAACACATTGAATGAATGCCACAATAAATGGGAGCTGGTAGAGGCAATGTGGATTGAGATACTTCTTTATGCGCCACATTCGTACCAGCATGTAAACCATATTAGGAGTAACCTGGGACAATATGGCCGAGAGTTCCTTGCCTTAATATGGATCATGGCTGGCAATCATATTTTACAAGTGATACTGGAGCAGCTGTAGCCATTATGGCCCTAGACTTCGCTGCAGGGAATTTATGGGTGCTCTTGTTGTGCGTCTGATTCTTTTTTTTTTCTCTTGCCTTTTTCTGCGTGTCTGATTCAAGTGTGCCAGTCTTGATGCATGCAATTAGTATATTTGTTCTTCGTACAGTGTGAGATCTAGTTCTTGAACATGAAATAAATGTTGGACAATTGTAGATTTTTGAATTTTATTTTTTTTATAGGTACATGTTTCAAATACATTGCAATTCCTACAGATAGTAACAACTAATAAATATTTGACAAATCAAAATATAATTCAAAGTAAATTACAAAGAATTACAATCCAACATAAGATTAGAAAAGGATCTGCAAATTTAATGCCCTAGATATCGAACGAAATTCCTTTCAGAATATTGCTTTGGATCATTAGAACCTAGATCAATTTAAGAACAATTAATCCTAACAGCAAAAGGAAAACGATAAGCAGAAGGCACATACCCTTTTTTCCCTGACCTGTTCTATAACTTGAGTAACATTGTTTTATTAAAAGACAGAATTTTACTTGGTTTTTAAGACCAGAAAAGCAAGAAGCACTA